GGGCCTTGGCTTGGAGTTATGGGTAGGAATTAGGAATAGATTAGCAAATTAGTTATTATTATTATTATTATAATTATACTAGTATCAACCCCGTGCTTTGCATGGGCTCACATATATTTTAAATTTTGACATCTAAAAAATGAAATATTACTTATTTTAAATTCTTTAATAATAATATATGATGTGTTTGATAAATAATTTCTAACTATAAAATATTTCCTTTGAGAAAAAATTTTTAGTTTTAATATTGATGTACATGTACTAAAAGTTATATAAATCTTTATTTTGGGATGTAATAAAAAGGAAAACAATGAATAGTTTATTAAAAGCCACATCAAGCTTTCTTTTTTAAAAGATTCATAAAGTTTATAAAATCTTTTTTAGATTTATAACTAGTTATGTATAATGGCGGGACTTTTTATTCCGTGAATAATACTTGAATAATGTCTAGTAGCGAGAACAATGTCTAGTGATGATGGACATTTAGTTTGAATAATGTCCAATGACGATGGACAATTACTTGAACAATGACCAGTGGACAATGGCTAGTGGTACCACATTGGAAAATAAAAATATATGTTACGACATGGGAAAGTCACTATATTTTAATACTATTTAAGTAAATTTTCCTAAAATAAATAATGTAATAAGAAAAAAAATTGAAATATGTCATGAAGTTAACAAAGATGCATGTGTGGTTACATATAATAGTTTCTTTTGAGATGGTGGATAATTTTAAAAATTATAAGATACATTGTTTTTTTAATTAATAAATTTAATAATTTTTTTTATTATAAAATATTCGCGTATATTTAAAAAATATGTTGAAACAACAAAAAACATTTCTTAAATAGTTAGAAAATGAAAATTTTATAAAAAAGAATAAAAATATAATGATTTAATATAAAATTAAATATGCATATGTGGAGTGACATGTGTCTTGTGATTTACACGTGGCATGACATGTGTTAGTAATATGCACGTGTGGCATGACACGTGTCATCACCACAACCAAGTAACTCTATTTTACACACACACACACAATATATATATATATGTGTGTGTGTGTGTGTATATGTGTATATATATATATATATATATATATTATCTCCTATATTATATAAATGGGAGAGAAAGTTTGGTAGAAGTATTTATCAAAATGCGGTAGGTGTCAAGTCTTTTGGTGCAAGTTCACAACATGATCCGATGTAACTCCTTGAACTTGAAATTCATGATTGCCCAAACGCATACTCGAAAGCTTCAAAGCAATAGGGTACCGCCTACGAAGGTAGGCTTCCGCATCTGGAGTGAGCGGACTGCTAGAGTTTTGTTAAGCATTCAACTCTGTATGCCGTTTCCCCCGCCACTCGGCAGTCTTCGATTGCATTCCGTTCAACAATGCTAGGATGGGTAGTGTTCTGGTGTGTCGTAGGACGCTGTTAACGCTCTCTGTCCCATTTGTCGTCATTATATTGTAACGATTTGTCTTGAAAAAAGCCCTTGCCCACCTTTCCTTCGGAATAGTACTTATGTACCTAGCCCCATTGGGATACCTGACCTCAAATTCCTTAAAAATCCTATGAAAAGTCTTCACTGTGTAGGCATTTGAAAGACGATCAAATAGCTTTAAACCATCTTTGTTCTTCTTTCCTAATGGACCTTTTAAATTACAGTGAATATGATATCGACAGTACCCTTAGTCTGCCAGAGTATAATGTTTTCTCAAACCATTCTCGATGCTTGGATGCCTATCTGAAATGAAGACCAAATGTTGATGATCTTCGATTCCTTGACGAAGATGACCGAAGAAATATGAGTAGGAGTCGTTATTTTCAGACTCTACAATGGCCCATGCAAGAGGATACTGATGGAAGGCACCATCTTGTGCTGTGGCAATTAGTAAAACACCTTTTTCAAGTGTTTTGCAGAACGTGCCATCAACAGAGATTACTTGTCTGAGGAACTTAAAACCTGAAGTACATGCGTGAAAGGCTATGAAGACATACTTAAAACAACCATCATCATCGACCTCTAGATTAGTGTATACTCTTCCATTGTTTGCCTCCTTCAACACGTGCAGATATAAAGGAAGTTTTGCATAGTTGTCGCATGGTTTCCCATACAACTTTTCGTTTGCAAATTTCCTACCTAGCCAAGCCTTTGTATATGTTATGGGCATGCTCTT